GATTTGATGCGTATCTCCAAGCAGTTATTTTGGGACCCAGAGATTGAGCCAAGCAAGATATTCGGGATTTGATGTGAGGATGTCCATCGTAACTGCTATGCTGCTGTTCGAGCGGGAAGCTCTGGATTTATTCCTTACTTCGGTTGTAAAAGAATTACTGCCGTACGTCCGAGGTTGAGCACCTTGGACCTGCCCTTACACTATTCCCCCCCTCCCCCCCGAAGTCATTCATTTGTGAATGATGTTATTGGGAATGATAGGGGTAGTGCATAAATAGGAGTGAAAGAAGATACAAGAGAGATAAGTTACAGAGATAAAAACGAAAATTAGTACCGCAAAAGTATGTATAGCCGTAGCGGATAATGAAATAAAGAGCCATAGCAAGGAACAGTGGCTGGAGCCATAATAAAAATAATGATCGGATTCATAGTGGCCAGAGCCAAAGTAAAATATGTGAGACTGGGTCACTGTGGTGGTAGCTGAAGTAAAACGTGTGACACTAGGTCACTGCGGCCGGAGCCGAAGTAAAACGTGTGACACTGGGTCACTGCGGCCGTAGCCGAAATAAAACGTGTGATACTGGGTCACTGTGGCCGTAGCCGAAGTAAAACGTGTGACATTGGGTGGGTCACTGTGGCCGTAGCCGAAGTAAAACCTGTGACATTGGGTCACTGTGGCCGTAGCCGAAGTAAAACATGTGACACTGGGTAGTCGAAGTAAAAAATGTGACACTGAGTCACTGTGGCCGTAGCCGAAGTAAAACATGTGACACTGGGTCATTGTGGCCGGACCCATCAGGTCGATTGCCGAAGCAAAACACTTGCCAAAATTTAAAATGTACAAAAGCGGAAAAGAGTGTTGAAATGGGCTTAGGTGGGCCCGTCTGAGAAGTCTATCTAAGACGCGGCACGCGACGCGACAGTTGTCCTCTGAATGATGTGCGTAATAAATGCCGCTTTAAAAAGATAACTGCAACAGTCCAACGGGCAGATTTGACAAGCGAACCGTCGAGTTCGAAACGGTGTCGTTTAATGGTTAATCGTCGAATTCGAAACGGTGTCTCTGCAGCCGTTAGATTGAGCTAATCACAGCCGTTGGGGCGTATTTTGCCTTTGGTATAAAAGGTTACACTTCTGTAAAAGGGGACTTTTTTACTCTCGTTATTTTGCGACTAAACTCTTGCTAAATTTCTACTAAATTTCTGCGGTTTTTGTGCGGTTTGCGCTTCGATCAAGACTTTAACAACAGTTTCCAAGATCAAAATCAGGTAAACTTTATAAATTTTTTACTTTGATTTTGTCGAAGTGGTGCTCTCCTTTCTCCCTTTCTGTGGTTGATTTTGGGTTTTTTGGAGGAAATTATGGTTGGGAGTGAGAATGTGTTGAGTGTGTTGGAATTGTTAAGGGTCTTGACTTCGTTCCTCCTCCCCCTGTATGCAGAAATTGAGATGTCTTCAGAAGAGGCGAGGAGTGTAGTGGGAAGTGAGGTAATGCCCTTGGAGTATGGTGGCATGGATTCGGAGACCAGTTCTTCTCCAACTAGCTCGGAGAGGACAGTGGAGGATAGAAGGGGGCAAAGGGTAGTAGAAGAGGAGGAGGATGAAATCCCCTCAAACATTTTGGAGGCTGGGAATGGCATAGATGGGTGTTATGATCCATATTTGGAGATAGTGTCTGAGGTGAGGGGGTATGTGAGTGAATTAGGTAGTAGGGAGAGTCTTAGGGGCCTTGTGGGTAATTGCAACCTTCCTCACCATGTCCTAATTAGGCCTGTCGGGGTGAATGAGAGGGCATGCTCAGCACCTCGAGACCATTGGATGCCCCTATACGTTCATTATTTAGTTGCAGGGCTTAGATTTCCCATTCCAGAATTACTGGTTGGGTTATTATTAGATTATAATGTAGGAATAACTCAGTTAACACCAAATGCCATAAGGGTAATGATAGGCTTCCTTGTATACTGCAGAGCTCGGGGGGTTGGGGTTCCTATAGTAAATATGTTTAAGCATTTTTTTGTGATAAGGGGTGGGGGTAGAGGTGAGAAGGGGTGGTACTACTTCGGCCCTTGGCCGTCCAGCAAAGAGAATAAGAGTTTATTTTCTGCTGGATCGTCATTCATCAAAGGATGGAAAGAAAATAAACTTAAGTCAACAATAATTGGGGCTACCTTTAGAGTGGAGAAACAAGGAGCTTAGGGTTGGTTCAATTACCTTTTGGCGTGGCCCTTGAGGGGTATTTATATGTTCCCATGAAGAAACCACGTGGCATGCCAAGCAAAATATTCGGGATCTGATGTGTATCTC